TCGTGTCCTGGGCTAAGGTTTCTCATTTCGAGTTAGATTAGATGCAGCCAGGCTGAGGCAGCAGAGTCACAGCTACCAAATCTATTAGGAACATGAAATGTTGTTAGCTATGCTGCATAATCTGATCTGACCATAAAATAAAATAGGTCAGACATGTAATGAATGTAATAAACTGCACTTTGTCTTAGGGAAACCGCCAAGGCCCCATTCTCCTTGCTCTATACATCATCCAGTCTCTGTAGGGTTAATTAATCTGGTTAACTGTTAATTATCATATATGGGTATGAGTGTTATGATCGAGGGAGCTGAAATTCTAGTAAAGGGCAAGAAGCGGAGTTTACAAAGACATATGCACCTTGATTTAGAAGGCAGAGCAAGTAGCTGCATTGCTACTGAATTCAGTTAAACTTGAGAGCTATTTTGAATATCCATAATATTTACTATCACGAGTGGCAGACTGGCTTCCGATTGCAACTGTACTAAAAGATAGAGTTTGTTTTCCTTGCATAGGTGCCAAGAAAGCACAGTACTTATAGCTACAGACATTGACACTTTGTCACTGTAAGCAAGGTCTGTGCGTATGCATCTATAGACATTACTATGCAAGTCTCATGCATTGAGTAGGTCAGAATGTGTTTGTATTTTGGGCGATAGTAAACATAAACAATGAAGATACTGGTCACTTTAGGGTGGGCAGACCCTGGCTCCACCACAACAATAATATAGAAAGAATAAGAATGTACTGCACAAACTGTTAATTCCACAGTCATGTCAAACAAAAAGGTGACTACGTTTCGGCCACACACGGTCTTTCTCAAAGCGTTGTGCTGGACATAATCTTATTTGCATATTGGGTGAGACTGTAAAGTGAGTGTATGTTGGTGTAGGTAAGAAGAAGGTGTGTGACTATTGGGTAAGGTCATAAGGTGTGTGCTTATATTCGTTGAGATACAAAACACATGCATATTTGGTTACATTGAAAGATATGTGTGTATTGGCTGAGAACAGAAAGTTAGTATGTTGGGTGAAATCTAAAGAAGAATTTTGAAGTGGTAAGACTGGAAGATGTGGATGGAAAGAAAATTGGAAGGTGCATGTGATGACATTGTGAGATCTATAGCTGTCATCTGGTGCATTGTGCTGTGTGATAAAACTGCACATTTTAGAGTAGCCTTTTATTGTGGCCAGCCTAAGGCACACCTGTGCAATAATCATGCTGTTTAATCAGCATCTTGAAATGCCACACCTGTGAGGTGGACGGATTATCTTGGCAAAGGAGAAGTGCTCACTAACACAGATTTAGACAGATTTGTGAACAATATTTGAGAGAAATAGGCCTTTTGTGTACATAGAAAAAGTCTTAGATCTTTGAGTTCAGTTGTGGTTTGCAGGTCATTGATGTAACCTAGCAGCCAAAGAGATGTGGATTGGACTGCGCTTGCAAGAACAATGACGAATTGACTGTACTAGTCAGTGGGGGCAGAGGATACCATTAAGTGAGCATGTGTACTGTGTGGCCGTAGCATTCAAAATGATTAAGCGAGTAGATCAACGATTCTGCAACAAACTTTGTGTTAAGCTTGAAGATTTCTCCTCGGAAACTGTTTGGATGATTCATAATGCTTTCGTGGATGATGCAATGGGTGCAGAGCAAATAAAATCCCCCAGATTACTCAGCCCCTATATCCCAGATCTGGCACTCTGCAACTTCTGGCTTTTCCCAAAACTAAAATCCCCTTTGAAAAGGAAAGAAATTTCAGACTGTCCATAAGATTCAGGTAAATATGATGAGGCAGCTAAGGCAGATTCCAATAAAGGATTTTGCAGAGTGTTTTGAACAGTGGAAAATACGCTGGAAGAACTGTGTGAAGTCCCAAGGTGCCTACTTTGAAAGAGACTGAGACGTCATTGTCCTATGTACAATGTTTCTTGTATCTTAAACGCTGTTTTTCATATTACGTGGCTGGATACTCTCCCTCATATATTAGGAAGGAAAGGTTATATGAGCAGGTGTGTATTCAGTGATATATTACATATATCACACTATAATAGGAAAGGTTACATATAATGTGGCACATCACTGGCAGGTTTATTACTGTGCAGTTATGTCGCATATTAATATACACAAAAACTTTAGAGCTCATAAAAAAGACAACATTACAGACATAAAGAGAGATAGGCAGACAAATCTGAGACCCCAAAATGCACTGTCTTTGTTAAAGATGGGCTTTAAGGAGGTATACGTATATATATATATATATATATATATATATATATATATATATATATATATATATATATATATATATATATATATAAATATATATGTATGTATTAAGGCAGTTTTGCCTGTATTTGTGGGAGGGGCTTAAATTAATTCACTCCCCTATATAAGGGACACCCCTTACCTGACTCATATCGCTTGAGGTCAGCATCAGAATGATTTCCACTTCCGGGTCATCCAGACGCCATTTTACCTGATTACTCCATGAGGTTTTCTAAGCTGAGCTGTGTCAGGAATCCAGCCACAGGCTTTTCCGGCCTACCACCTTCTTTCTTCAATCTATCGCTGTGGATGGTGTCCAAGTGACTCACAAACCGTAAGTTGACCTACCCATTACGCCAGGCATCAGTCCCACGGCACCATGCAAGGGTCAGGTCCTCACTTTACTGCTGCATTTTGTCTAAGTCTGTTCTAAAACCATTGCATGTTCATGCATATCATTCGTTTAAACCCCCTACTGGTCTTTGGGTGTACTACAGACTTCTTAGACATTATCGCATTTCATGTACAAACCAACGAACCACTGCATCTTTGCCTACACACTGACCCCTACCGGTCATTCGGTGTACTACAGGCTTCTCAGACATTATTGCATTTCATGTACAAACCAACGAACCACCGCATTTTTCACCTACACACTGACCCCTATTGGTCATTCGGTGTACTACAGGCTTCTTAGGCGTTGTTTGCATTTTCATGTACAAACCAATAAACCAATGCATTTACACCTACACACTGACCCCTACTGGTCTTTCGGTGGACTACAGGCTTCTTAGACATTATCGCATTTCATGTACAAATCAACGAACCACTGCATTTGCGCCTACACGCTGACCTCTACCGGTCATTCTGTGTACTACAGCTTCTCCGACATTATTGCATTTCAGGTACAAACCAACAAACCACTTAATTTTTCACCTACACACTGACCCCTATCAGTCATTCGGTGTACTACAGGCTTCTTAGACATTATTGCTTTTCATGTACAAAACAATAAACCACTGCATTTTCACCTACACACTGACACCTACCAGTCATTCTGTGTACTACAGGCTTCTCAGACATTATTGCATTTTATGTACAAACCAACAAACCACTGCATTTTTCACCTACATACTGACCCCTATCAGTCATTCGGTGTACTACAGGCTTCTTAGACATTATTGCTTTTCGTGTACAAAACAATAAACCACTGCATTTTTACCTACACACTTACACCTACCGGTCATTCAGTGTACTACAGGCTTCTCAGACATTATTGCATTTCATGTACAAACCAACGAACCACGGCATTTTCGCCTACATGCTGACCCCTACCGGTCAATCGGTATACTACAGTCTTCTCAGACTTTATTGCACTTCATAAGCAAACAAACTAACTACAGCATTTTCGCTTTTATACTGACTCCTATCTGTCATACGGTAGGATTAACCCCTTAGGGACACATGACATGTGTGTCATGTCATGATTCCCTTTTATTCCAGAAGTTTGGTCCTTAAGGGGTTAAAGGGTATTTTTACCATACAATCAGCATTTATGACCCCTACTGGTCAACAGCAAAACTGTTTTCACATGTCATATACAATTTACCAGCCAATATAAATTACACATAAGATTGTTTTAACCCCTTAAGGACACAAGACATGTGTGACGTGTCATGATTCCCTTTTATTCCAGAAGTTTGGTCCTTACGGGGTTAAACATAACCATAAACCATAAATGAAACTCCAGCACGGGCTCAAATTCAGGTTTAATTCACAATAATTTACATTTCACATCAAGACCAACAGTAGTTCTATCAACACTGCCACCTACAGGTCTGTCAAGTACATTGACAATTTTCATGGGGTTTTACAAACACCAAAACACTTACACCTATAGGTCAACAGACAAACAACATTTCACATACCAATCAGTATCCAACTACACTGCCACCTATAGGGCACTCGGCAGATCTCCAGTGCACTTGCATTTTGCAACACCATGTTCACTGACCCCTACCATTCAATAAGACATACAACAATTCACATAGCAAGCACTATATCAACATCAGGTATAAATACATATATTATTACACAGTAGCAGACGCGTCTGTATATACGTAACTGGTAATATAGTTCACATACATTTTTCACAGCACGCTGCTCACGCAACAGACTTTCCCCTAGCAAGGGGACATACAACATACAAGGTGGGGACAGACCACATTTTCACTTGTACATACGGCACTTAATGGGTTAAGATTGATACATATTTAACCAGTATGGCTACGATGTTTAATATTTACACATCATGGCACTTTACTTTTCACATATACTGTACGTATTAAGATAAGCTTGGTCTATGCCATATTTCCTTATGCCATACGGTTTTATCCATTCAGGTTACAGTTACTACTAAAAACCTATACGGATTGTCAGGTTCAATACCATACTACCAGGTACATACACCTGCTCACGTAGTTATCCATCTCTTACCTTCCCTGGAATAGTAATAGTGTACTGGCAATTAGGGTTCTAGGGCCCAATAGGTATTACCCCCTTTTTTCTCTGCATTATGCTTCGGTTAGTGGTCCCGCGAGGCCAACACCCCGCCTCACACTCGGAGGCATACACCCCTCGGGCCACTCGTGAGCTAGCCGCCTCGCATTGTATCATAGAGAGGGCCTCACCTGTCACTCCCCTTCCTATTTTCTGGTTACTGTCACCGAGAGGCCAACATCCTGCCACAACGTTCGGTGGCCACACAAAATCCCCTCGCGCCAAGCATAGATAGAGCCTCTCAAGCCACTTGGCAACTAGCAGGGCCTCACCAGTCACCAAAAAACACCAAGCCTAATCGTTTCGCCTTACGGCTTAGCTAGCAAGCCAGTACAAGAACCCTGGGTACAAATAATTGCATCTTTATTGTTATTTAAGTATTTTTCCAAAAGATGGTGAAGAATCACCTCTTCCTAGGACCCCGGCTAGAATTGATACACCTTCAAGCAGAGGAGATGTTGCTAGTCCTGCAGCAATCAGATCCTGGACGATCCCACACATTACCACCGACCTAAGAAGGTGACAAATCCCCTACCCTGCTACAGCAAGGAAAGCAGAGTTATTCAAACTCCTCCATACATCAACGGACAACACGGAGGCAGGGGAAGGCCCAGCTACATCAACTCAGGTGACACCCAGGCTATGCTAGCCTCACTCAAACTCATGAGCCAAAAAATTTTATGACAGACTGGCAATCTCGAGTTGGTCACCACAGCCCTCACAAGGCTGGGCCTCACGTTACTGTACAACCAGCACCAACCGAAACTCGGTTACCTGGTACAATCAATTCTTATGACACACAAGATGTTAACCCTGCACGTATGATCCCAGCACATTGGGGAAGCAAGGCATATATATGTATGATGATGTATCTGTGATGGTCAGATTCAGGGATTCCAGGTAAATCGGGAACTGACCATCTCTTGGATGGGTTGGTATTTGGAATATGTAGAGATGTTTATTTGTGCAGGTACCCATACAGAAGGGGTTCTGTCCCAAACAAATGGACGAGCACTCTCAGGCTCCAGGTACCAGCACCTCTGAACTACCAGAGACGATTGATATGAGTAGTTGCATTGCATATAGACTGTTGCATATATGTTCAAATGGTTCAGGGCACATGACAAACCATGTGGCCCAATACAACTTACAAATAACGTACTCACCATCTGTACACACCAATGCATTTTCAACACTACTGACTCATCACCCTTCCAGACTTGTAGTAGATTTACTAAAGCTCTGGAGCTTCAAAGTGCTCTCATACAGGTATCATAAACACACCTTCAAGGAATATAGCATGCCCTCACTTACAGTCAGCACAACAAAACCATTGGCTGAAAACACACTCATCTCCACCATTTACAGCATGGCACCAAACACACACATTGGTATTGTCACAAGGAATCTTCCCTTAAACAAAGACTAACCATAGACTTATTGGCACCACACACCTCCGCTACCCCAAGTCTCAACTCCCTTCTTACTATACAACACCATTGATCTACCTTTACAGCTATCACTCAAGCATGGGTTAAAGCTTGGTTAAGTAAGACCAATATCATCAACGCAGTAAACGGCTACCATCTACCCTACACACTGGCACTTACATGGCATAAATTGGGCAATCCTTTCCCTGCTCAACTTTCGAGCTACAGATTAACCTACTATCGATATTCGCAGATACTCTGTGCTGGTTATGATAACATATCCAGAGGCATTACAGTCATACACTATCTAGAAGACTTCTTGTTGCTCAAAGAAAGCATATTTTTCACTAGAAGCCTCATGGCAGCTTAGTCTGGTTGACCACTTGGGCGTCCCAGTACCCCATAAGAAACAGAAGGCGCAGACACTATCATCACATTACTGGGCATATGACTTGAGTCGGCATCCATACACGCAAGTTACCACAAGACAAATAGGGAACATTCTCAACTAAAACAATCACTACCTCCTGCTTAGTACTTACAACTACAAGGAACTACAATCCCTACCAGGTTCCTTAATTTTGCCATGCCAATCATACCACAAGACCACGCTTTCACATCCAGAGTACTTTCCCCTTTTTTCCACACTTCCAACATGACGATCAGAGGAGGTGCCTAGACACCTCAGCAACAGCAGACCTGCACATGGGGGGGATTTCTTAACCACTTGGCATGGTAAAAGCATGTTCCTTCCAGGATTGTCTGACACTTCTCCAACCAGATGGTCAGACGCAGCGTATACCACGGGTTTGGCAGCGATCTACCGGGAACAATTGCTTTGGGGCTGTTGGCCATGGCATCCAGGTTTGGAAATTTTTCCACCACTTCAGCCCCTTTGGGAGATCTACCCCATTGTAGCAGCTGCTGTGGCATGGGGTAAATCATGGTCAGGGTCATCAATCCATTGTTACTCAGACAACTAAGCACATATCATATCATCAACAAACGCCACTACTCATCCATAAGTTCATGATGTTTCTGGGGAACTCACTTGGTTGGCCACTTATCACATTTCACTTTCATGTACCAGACGGGGGTATACATCCCTGCCGACAACTGTCTCATTTATATTCCAGGCATGTTCATCATACGCTTCCTACAGCCGCCCATACAGTCACGTCCACTCTTTCGTTCCAGAGACAAAATCATGGATTAGACATACTCATGCAGCATAGCATGCACTATCCCACCTAGCACTTTCGTCCCATACTTGTAGAACGCATAACACAGCTTTTCACCTGGCTTAAAGAATCTCATTGGAACACGACATAGCTCAACCTGTGTCACAAAATTTCTCCTAAGTTTTGCTTATTTTTGCCACCTTAAACTTATACTATCTCATACACCATTAATTATATATTTTACAGGCATTCAACAACACATGATAACCTATGGCCAAAACTACCATAAACTTCATGCTATCATACCAGAAAAGAATATACTCAGAGGTTTTCAGGAATCCATTCCCCCACGTTCCTCTCAGAGATTACCAATAGCCATCCAACTGTTCATCCTTATCGGACCTATTAGATCTACAACCATTCAATTATACTACCAAGTCGGCCATTACCAGCCATGCACATTGCCTTTTATGCCTTTCTCAGGCCAGAGAATCCACTACCATCACCACCACTCAGACAGATCATTGTCTTCAACGATCCCACGTACGTAAACACATATATCATTACCTATTGGCTCTACCACATTCCGAAATGAGTCAACATGCACCAACAGTAGAGATAACATACTATCCTACCCACAACAAATGGTGTCCACTTTCGGTCCTAGATTCCTACCTTCAAAATCCTTTCAGGAATTAAATACTGTAATGCATTTAAGGAAATGTCTGGTTAATTTGTATATATTTGTTGACTGTATTAAATCTTTGATTATTCATTTTTGCCCTCTTTATTTACAGGCCTACCGTATCGTCGGTATCGGCACACCACAACCGACTTGCTCCCTTTACACTATCCTAAGCTTATGCTGGATCCTTACTCCATATACGGCTATTTTGCCCCTTACACAAGTATTAAGGCAGTTTTGCCTGTATTTGTGGGAGGGGCTTAAATTAATTCACTCCCCTATATAAGGGACACCCCTTACCTGACTCATATCGCTTGAGGTCAGCATCAGAATGACCCTCCCACCCACTCCTCATTTCAACACTTTCTCTTTTCTTTCCATTTACTTTACTTTCTTACTCCTTGGTGGGCCCTCTTTATTTACAGGCCTACCGTATCGTCGGTATCGGCACACCACAACCGACTTGCTCCCTTTACACTATCCTAAGCTTATGCTGGATCCTTACTCCATATACGGCTATTTTGCCCCTTACACAAATATATATATATATATATATATATATGCACATTGTTTTCAGCTCTGCATTTGTTCTATGTGTGTTTGAACTGTAATACAGTAGTCAAAGGGTGCTAACATCCAGAGCCCAGGGGTGCATGAGATGTAAATATTATCTGATGTGCTGGGTCCAGTAGCCGTGGTACCATTTGACATGGCAGTACCTTGCTTTATCGCAGTTTTGAAATTAGTTGTGACTTTTATTTGCTCACCTACCTCAGAGCTGCAGTCTCTTGTTTTAGAAGACAGTAATATTGAAAATAATTCTTGTGTGAATGCACCCTGGCATTAATGATACATTGATGCAACTGCACTGCAGAAAACCACAGGCCATTCGAGCTCAAGGCTGTATTAGCCACGGCTTTCTAGACTGGCCTACGGGAACAGCTCCATTAACCCCTTTAGCAAACATAAATATTTGTGGTAATAAAGTCCTGTGGAAGGATAACCATATGAATTGTTAAAGAGGAGCTGTCATCTCCCAGGATTTTTATATATGTTTAGTAATCTCTATATTTAACAAATATGTATTTGTAAGGCGTGAAAAGTAACATTAAATGTACAGATTCATACCTCTTTAGTCTGCAATTGGGGCCTCCATTTTAGCTCCCGGTCAATCATGATCATAAGTGTTGCCCTTTGAAATTGTCTGCATAGAAAAATCAAACAAAGAGAAGAAATTAAACAATGTTTCCATATCGTTTCTTCATTTACAACCTTTGTCCTGGATTTACTTTGTCTAAATTGGATTACAATGACATTTGCTAAATCTTTATTTTAAATTTCAAAGAAATTGCATGTCATGAAAAAAAAAAATATGTGACAACTACCCTTTAACATGGATCAAGTAAAAAAAAAAGATTCACCTCATTTTATTTATTTTAAACACATTTTTACTAAAAGTAAATATTTCCCCAGGTTAATTGGGAGGACCTTTAAAAGATCCTGGCAAACATGTTAGAACCACATAGTGTAAAAGAGATCATTTAGACACTGAGCCTACTCTGTTTTTAGGGGGTCGCTGTAGTTTTGTTTGTGAAGGTAAAAAAATGGGCATGAGTAAGGCCAAATCAGGTCACCAGATCACTGTCTGTCCCTATAGCCACAATCGTGGCAAACCTTTGGGAGCTATTTAAAAAAAAACATATGGAGGGGGAATTCTAATGTCCACCTCTGCCCTCACCGGTGGTTAGTGGTTGGGGGTATTTTAATATTCAGGTGGGAGGACCTAGTGTAGCCTGGCCCCTAACCATTAGCTGCAGATGGGTTCTAATTATTTGAAGGGCCTAATGTGCACATTAGGAGGGCCTAATGTGCCCTCATCCCCTTGGGGCTCCCAGCTATGAGCAGCTGATGGGGGCTCTAAATAATGGAACAATGGGGGGTGGATATGCCTTTGTCATTGCCCCAAATTACTAGCATGACCCATGCCCTACCCCCCAAGAGCTTGAGGGCCTTAATGGCCTAGCCACTAACCCCTATATTAACCCTATCCATCCTCATTCACCCTAGTAATATTGAGGGGAGGCAATAAAGCTAATACCTCTAAAATAACAAATTATACTTAACATCAGAAATCTTTCTACTAATTTTTCTTTTCTTCAGCCCCCCAAAAAAGCCAAATTGAAATCCATAATTCCTGATGC